GTGTGTGTGTGTGTGTGTGTGTGTGTGTGTGTGTGTGTGTGTGTGTGTTGGGGGAGAGGGGAATACTGACAGAATTTACATTATTTTCTGTTTAGAGCTGTGCTCTCCATTAACTACTTAGTCTAACATGTTTTTCTTGAGAAAGGCATTTACATACATGCTTGTCTCCTGCCAGTGGCAAACACTTCTCAGCAGTCCTGAAGTCCACAAATGGCCTTCAGTTTACTCTGGCTTGGTATTGTTGTCGTGGGGGTTCAGGCAGCTGGTATACTTCTCTGGTTACCCTTCCCTGTCTCCTTCCCTCCTACCCTTCTTTCCTTTCTCCCTCCCTTCTCTCCTTCTGCTGGGGGATATAAGAAGAGGAGCTGACAAAAAGTCTTCCAGTAGTTTTGGTACGTTATTCTAAATGATGAAAGTTTGGATAGGTCGAACTCCCGCACAATAGAACAGGGTTGGGCTGCCCTCCCGGTTCTCCAATAAGCTCTTTTGCCGGGCTAGCTTCACACCTCCAGCTCTTTTAAAGAAACTATTTGGGGAGCTGAGGCCGACAACCCCAAACTCAAACTCCAGCTGCTGGCGAAACTCTCACTCAACTCATCTCAGAGCCTCTCCTGGGAGCCTCCTAGTGTGGCCCAATATTTGTTCTCCCGCTTTTCTCCCACAAGTATTTGGCAGCTGGTTCGCTTTCTCCGCGGTTCCTCCTCCACCCAGCTTGCGCCCTGTCGTACCCCCGGGGTCGGAGGAAATATAGGCACTGAGGCTACTGCTGCAGCGGGTCTGCTTTTTCCCCACCCCTCTCTCTCAGCCCACGCCCCCAGAAAAGTCACGGAGAAGAGGAGGCGGGGTAGCCAGGTCCTGGCGACCCTTTTAAAGCGATAGGACAGGGGATGGACTGCGTTAAGGCGGAGCGACTCCTGCGGAGAGTAGAGGGGCCAGCTCAGTGGATTGAAGGAGAAAGAGCAAGGAAACGAGCAAGACTCGTAGTCAGAACCCGTCCAGCTGTGGGCTCAGCCGCCGTGGCTCTGGCCAAAGAGGGCTAGCGCGAACCCCTCCTTTCTCCAGTCTGGGCCAGCCGCACGCTCCCTCTGCCCTGTCCTCCCTGGTCCCCACCATGCGCACAGGCTAGCATGTCCACTGTCAGTTAAACCTGCGCCTGAGGAAAGGGGCAAGCGGAGAGCGGGAGTTGGGGAAACTTTGGGAAGCAGGGAGCGCGTGGTGTAGGCGCTCCCACCACCACGATGCTGCCCACCCTGCTCCTCGCCTTGGTCTGCCTGGGCGACCAGCTCAGCCCGAGCCTGGGCTGCCAGCTGCCGTCCGACTGGAGACCCCTGAGCGAGAGCTGCCGGGCGGAGCTGGCCGAAATCATCGTGTACGCCAAGGTGCTGGCGCTGCACCAGGAGATGTACAGCCTGTACAACTACCTGCCGTGGCAGTACGAAGCCGCGTCCGAGGGAGGGCTCTTCTATTCCGCCGAGATCGAGATGCTGTGCGACCAGGCGTGGGGAAGCATGCTGGAGGTGCCCGCAGGCTCCAGGCTCAACCTCACTGGCCTGGGCTATTTCTCCTGCCACTCCCATACCGTGGTGCAAGATTACTCCTACTTCTTCTTCCTCAGGTGAGCGGAGCGCCTCCCACGCAGCCGGCAGGACACTGCCCCGGTGATTGCTTGTCTGCTTGTGAGGATGTGTGTGCTCTACGCGCAGGTTCTCATTAACAGGACCTCACACTACTCTTTTTCACTTTTGGATAGACCCACGTGGACACGCATAACCTACATGGACAACACAAGTGCGCTCTCTCTCTCTCTCTCTCACTCACTCACTTTCACTCTCACACTCACTCACACTCACTCTCACTTTCTCTCTCTCTCTCTCTCTCACACACACACACACACACACACACACACACCTACATCATTTTCACCAAGATCTTTGCCAATGAGCCAAAGGAATAATGGAAGGGGTGAAATTATATCTACAATTCTGCTCTTCCCAAGAGTTTGAAGGATTTACCAGTTAACTTATTTCTTACAAGCATTTTTTGTTAGTTTGTTTGTTTTTGGCGAGGCAATTGGGGTTAAGTGACTTGCCCAGGGTCACACAGCTAGTAAGTGTCAAGTGTTTGAGGTCAAATTTGAACTCAGGTCCTCCTGACTCCAGGGCTGATTCTCTATTCGCTATTGTCTATTCACCTAGCTGCCCCTCTAACCAGCTTTTTAACTGTGTCCTTAGTCAAGTCACTTACTTTCCCTAGGCCTCAATTTCCTCATCTCTAAAATGAAGAGATTAAACTAGACAATCTCTAAGGTCCTCTGGGACAAGTCTGTGGGAGTAACAACCAGCTCTGCAGGGAAAAAAAGTGTTCGGGACACACTTAAAAGTTTAATCTTCCTTATTAACACTTTTTCTTTCACTTTCTTAAGCCCAGACAATCAACAAAGTAATAAATCAAGCTCTGATTTGGAGCATTTGTGATTTTCGAGGCGTAAATACTCATTGAAAATTTAACAATGGAAGACTCAGCTGACTCAAGTACACTCCAACTTCCAGGTCTAGAACTATAACCATGTTCATAATAATAGCTAACATTTATATAGTGCTTTAAGGAGCACTTTACAAGTATGGTTTCATTTGATCCTTACAAAAACCCTCTGAAATGGGTGCTATTATTATCCCCATTTTACTGACAGGGCAAGGTAACTGAGTTTGAGAGAGGTTAAATGAGTTGCCCAGGGTCATACAGCTACTAAGTATTTGGAGTAGGATTACAAACTGGGTCTTGCTGACTTTTAAATCCATCAGCCTACAAATAACCTACAATGAGAGCTATGGGAGAAGGCATCAAGGTGCACTCTAAACTGAAATGGTTGTCTGAATTCTCCAGTATACAGCCAGGCTCTTACCAGATTTCATTGCTCTACTTATGGGGCTGAGGGGACTCTGTACTCTAGAGGAGAGTGGGCCAGTCTTGAAGTCAGGAAAATTTAGATTCCTATTCTGCCTTTGATGTAGTAGCTGTTGGACCATGGGCTAGTCACTTTTGATGACCTAGACAACTAAGAAACTACTCTTCATGTTAAAATTGTATTGTCCCCCACCATCACACGATTGCTACATAAATGTGTGTATGTGTTGTTCCTCTCCCTGTTAGAATATAAATCCTCAAGAACAGGGACTATTCTTTATTGAATCTGTCTACTTAGCACCTAGCACTGAGCCTGATACATATTAGGTGCTTAATAAATGCATATTAAGTTGTATGGAGTTGCCTACCTGCTCTAGTGGAGGGAATTTTCATTTTGATAGTCCCTGTGAGTCTAGAGGAAAAAAATTGACAAGCTGTACATAGTTATTTGCATGCTGTTCCCCCTCCCCCATTAGATTGTGAGCTCTTCAAGGGTAGGAATTGACTTTTACCTTTCTTTGTATCTCCAGTGCTTGGTGCCATGCCTGGTGCATAGTAGGTGCTTAATAAATGTGTATTGACTGATTTCAACAAACATCAAGAGTCCGCTCTTCAAGGCAGCATGAGTTCTGTAAAAAAAAAAAAAAAAGTCACCCTTGATTCCAGCCTTCTGAAATCTTATAAAGTTCTCTAAAAATTATTCATCAGTCTATAAGAATAAAGCAAATGTTCGTGACCATTGTGTCTCATACTTCTTCTAGAGTCAAAGACTTAGGAGGTAGACTAGCAATTGAAATTCTCTGGTTTTATGTGATTTAAATTGGGAGGAGGGAATTGGTAAAATAATACATTATCTCATTTGATCCTCACTACAACCCTATGAAGTAGATGCTTTTATTATCTGCATTTTACAGATGAGGAAACTGAGGCATGGAGGTTAAGTGGCCTGCCCCTAGTCACACTAGTAGGTGTGAACTCATGTGGAACTCAAGTCTTCCTGATTCCAAGTACAATGCTCTGGACTGTTTGAGAAAAGAATCTGTTTGAGAATCACCAAAATGCTTTTGAAAATAACTTATAGATTAAAGTTGTGAGCCAATAAAACCAAACTCAAGGCTGTTAGTAATAATTACAATACTGACATAGCAATGTAGTATATAATACAAAATATTTGGTACTGACTGCAACCAGTGTCTATAGATAACTTATTAACTCCCCGGACTTCAGCATCTTTCTGAGAATGGAGACACTAAAGTGCCCCCACATTGAGCTTGCTGCAACACATGTTTTCCACATCTAAGCCAGAATTTCTAAGTTTAGAATACAGCATGTCATGGTTCTGGCTTGAATTGTTTCTCTAGACTAAGTAAAATTTCTCAGGAGTGCCAACAAAGACTGAGAGAGCACATTTCTCATTATAGAGACACTTTAATTGTCTATGATTTTTTATTAAGAGAAAAAACACAAATAGGGCCCATCTGAAACAAAGAAAAATGAAAACCCATTTTCAAACTAGGGGGAATTGCAGACCTATCAGGAAATATTATTTGTTTCCATCTTATTGTGAAATTCAATTTTGTTCAATATTGCTGTGGTAGTCAGCCAACTCTTTCATCTTTTTGCTCTTAAATATTTACAAAAAGTTAGTGCAGAAATACACTAAGTTAAATGCTAGACTGACAGATTCCCATTTCACAGGGCTCCCTTGCCCTGAAGGATGTTAACAGCTGCATACAAATTATTCTTCCTCCTGTTATTCTGAGACCTGTTGAGATTAGAAAAGGCTCTGGTCATTTTCACTAATGTGAAAACTGAATATGTTGATTGATCAATGAACCCTGCCTTCACTTTGGTCTAGACTGTGGTCTTCCTTCTCTGTAGTGTTATTTTTTATTCTTAATAGACTGTTATCTCTACTGCAAACTTCTTATCTTATGCTTCACGGAACCACAACAGTCAAACAAACTGCAGGAATTAAAGTCTCTTGGGAGACTTCTAAACTTAAAAATATTTACTTTCTGCCTCATTTATCAGTATGCTTCTTTTGGAACCCTCAAAGATAGAAGGTTGCTATGGCTTCTGTAAAACTGTAGTATCCAATGAGAGTTCAGTTCAGATCTCTGGTTTTGTTTTGCTTTTGCTTCAGGATGGATGACAATTATAATCTCTTGCCTCATGGAGTCAATTTCCAGGATGCCATCTTTCCAGACACTCAAGAGAACAGAAGAATGTTTTCCAGTCTCTTCCAGTTTTCCAACTGTACTCATGGACAGCAGCCTGCAACTTTCTCCAGTGACTGGGAGATTCAGGAGGACAACAGGGTAAGAATCTGTCCAATTTCATAGAACATCAAAACAATAGAGCAGATACAGTCTTTAATTGCTTTTCTTGACCAGAAATTTAAGGGACATGATGGTCAGACCAAGGGAGATTTTGTAACTCTCTTGTAACTCCTGTCCTTCTAGGAAATTATTTTCAAAGGTGTCATTTCTTGGCTTGTGGTTTTAGAGACCTCTGGAGTCTTCCCACAGAGTTTAGTTAGGAAGAAACAGTTACTGGAATTGGAATATCTAGTATAACGTATGGATTGTAAGAGGTTTACTGGAGGATAAGAAGGGATGGGAGAAGTTCTTGGCAGGAGTGAAATAACAGGACTAGGATTATTAGAGCTGGAACATTTCTATACACCATATGGCAAAAAAAATTCTAGCAGTAAGATGTGAGGGGATGATAAAAAGAAATACCACCTCCCTATTTATATAGATAACCAAACCATCAATAAAGTTTGAGATAATTGATATTCAAAAGCAATGACTTTCAAGTAATTTTCCTAATTCAAATTTCTTACTGCATCACTCAGTAATTCAGAAATCTTCCCAATGCTTATTGAATGAAATGTAAATTTTTGGGATCATTCAGGTCCTTCATTATCTGGCTCCAACTTACCTGTCCAGCTTTGTTTTTTTTCTCATTATTCTCATTTATGTACTCTTGTTTGACATTCAAAATCCCTCATAACCTAGCCCCTTCCTACCTATCCAGTCTCCTTAAACCTTACTCCCTGACACATATTCTTTGATCCAATGATGCTGGCCTTTTGCCTGTTACATGAACAAGACACTTTTCTCTGCTCTGAGCATTTTCTCTGGCTGTCCCCAATGCTTGCAATACTCTCTTTCCTCAGCTTTGCCTCTTGACTTCCTTAGCTTCCTTTAAGCCCCAACTGAAATTCCATTTTTTTTAACAGGAAACTTTTCCCAACCCCTCTTAATTCTAGTGCCTTCTCCTTATTAACTATTTCCTATTTATCCTTTCTATAGCTTGTTTGTATGTGTTTGTTTGCATGTTGTCTCTCCCATGAGTCCTTTGAAAGCAGAGACTGTCTTATATAACCCTAGCACTTAGTACAGTGCCTTGTACACAGGAGACATTTAATAAATGTTTATTGATTGATTGGGCAAATTGGAATACTCAGTGTTACCTAATCTCTTCCTGTCTTCCCTCTTTTGGGAGGCATTTGTCCATACTAGAATCCTATGCTTATAACAGACTTTCTCCAATCAATCCACAAAAATTTATCAAGTGCTTACTATATGCTGTATATACTATTTGTGTGTATGTATCTTATGTATATAGGCGTGTTTGTGTGTGTGTGTGTGTATAAAAACACACACACACACACACACACTCACAAAGACAAAAGGGGAAAAAAGACCCTACCTTCAAAGTACTTACATTCTAATGAGGGAGACAACATATCCATCAGTCCAAAGAGTAGGTGAAAGAGAGGAAGGTACTGGTAGCTAAGGTAATTGAAAAAGCCACCTGCAAAAGTTGGCTGTTTGTGCTGAGTCTTAAAGGAAGCTAGCTCTGGCTTCTAAGAGCTGAAGTTTAGGAGGGAGAACATTCCAGGAAAGGAGTAAGACACAGAGATGGGAGAGGAAGTGTCATGTATGAGGAAAGCATGGAGGTCACTGTGGCTGGACCACAGAGTACGTAGAAGACTGGGAAGATAGGAAGGGGAAGGTAGAAAGGAAGCACGTGGCCAGAGTTTAAATGTCAAACAGAGCAGTTTATGTTTGATTCTAGTGGGAACAGGATCATATACTTTCTCTTCCCCCAATGACCAGATGGATTTTATTTCCTTCATGAAGCCTTCTTTAATTCCCTCTTGCCTCAAATGTTTCAGGCCACTGATTTGATCTATTTTAATTTATTATAGCTACTTGTGTAAAGGCCTCTTGTCACCCACCAGACTGTAAGCTTTTTGAAGCCTTGGGACTGCCATTTTTTATCTTTAAATCCCTAGCCCAGTGTAAGAATTTATAAAATATTTGTCTAATTGAATTGAATCAGTAGCAAATTTAATACATTTCAAGACTAGGCAAAAAAAATGGCAATAGATTTGGAATAAATCCCTTGCTTGTTTCACATACCACATCTTGGATTACTAACTCTGTAAGGATGCCAGATCTGTTGTACTTACTACTTTGTATGCTGTGAGCTACTTTTGAGTTTCCATTCAACTTGGGCAGTTAATTTGTTTCTCTTCCTGGTTTGTTTTTTTTTTTCTTCTCCCGCTGTACTATCGTTTTAGAAGTCTAGTTTAACCTGGAACTCCAAAGTAAGGAGATTTAGAAGTGCAATTTGCTGGGAAAGTTTCTGCAGAAAGCTTTTGCAAAGTGAACCCATTGCAATGCCCAGCCTTAAACATCAGCTGCACAGTCCTCCCACACCACTGATGTCTTTGCTGTTCCTATCCACATATGAGTAGCCCCACCTGAACCTTGACAAATGGAAACACAATCTCTCTTTCAAAACATTCCAAGATATCAGCAGTGTTACTAAGCTTTTCTCAGTACTTTTCTAGTTCAGTGTCATAGTGTTAATGGGACTTTGGGGGATATTTTTGGCAAGCTAGAGCATTCACCGAATTTATTGGCAAGTTTTTCTTCAGTTTAGCCAAGAACTTTTCTTTCTTCTCTTCTCTCCTGCTGTTCAGTGCAACAGTCAAAACAGAGATATATATATTTTCCCTCTCTCTGCATGACTGTCCACTGAGACCAGGACCCAGTCTGACCTTTAAAAGAACAAAAATATTTGAGCCACATGAATCTAGTAAAGTGTGATGGAGTTAGATTGAGGATCTGTGAGATTCCAATTGATGTTAATCACTTTCTTTGCACTCTGGGTGATGGCCTTTGGGCTGTGGTAGTAGATGTGTCTTTGTTGCCAAAATGAAGATGGAAGAATCATATTTAGATACAGAGAATTCTGTAATATCGAAGAAAGAGCTTTGTATTGTACAGGTCCACACCTTGAACCAAGGAGAACCTGTACTGATCAGAATGTAGCCTGGGACAGTCATGGGGATAGATAGGATTGATGCAATTCAGACTCTTAGTAAAGCATTGTGCTACGTTTTGTGTAAGAGGTAAAGATAAGATTATCCTTATGGAGCATACAGTCTTATAGGGGAAATGAAACAAACATAGGATATAATAATGCACATCTATGGCAAAGTGCATCAGAAAAGCAGACTTGAAAGGATTCCCCCCCCTTAGGGGGGAAATTATTATCTAGAGAGATGTTCTAGGCTGGGCCGAACTCAGGCTAGTCCCTGGTAATTTTGGTTTGATATTGGAACAAAATGAGAGGCTCATAGGTCATTCAACAGTTATTTAAAGGAGATTTGCTCAGCCATAGCAGGAGGATCCTCATGGCATGGAGGGAACTTTGAATAGATTCAACTGAGCAAAGCTCCCATTGACTAAAATTCACCAGCCAAGCATCTGGGAGGGCACTGGCACTTCTTGTGGCTGCTTTATACATTCAGAAGTGATGCCAATAGCCTAAGCTTTTTTTTTTCCCTGAACCTAACGAATCTCAAGAAATATCTCAATACTTGTCAAGGAAAATTTAGCCTAACCTGTATGGGGAGAGAAGTTAGGATATTGCTCCGTCCACAAGAGAGGAGCAGAAAAGGTTTCAGGTAGGCGATGGCATTTCAGTTAGACTTTAAAGGATTTGCATAAGGCTATACCAGCAGAGCATAAATTCTAGCAGGTCCAACCACATCATCTCCATATTTAATAAATTTCATAGGCTTTCTATCACCTCCAAGACCAAATACAAAATCCTCTGTCATTCAAAGACCTTCATAACCCACTTCCCTCTCCTTTCCAGTCTTCTTAACACCTTAAACATACTGCTTTATCCACTGGTCCTCTTGTTGTTCCATGAACAAGACCCTTTATCTCTTGGCTCTGGACATTTTTCTGGCTGTCTCTCTTCATCTCTGCCTTCTGGCTTCTCTGGCTTCCTTTAAGTCCTAATTAAAATCCTATCTTCTATAGGAAGCCTTTCCCAAACCCTTTTAAAACCTAATACCTTCACTCTGTTGGTTATTTCCTATTTTTCTGAGTATAGCTTGTTTGTACACTTTCCTTTGCTTACTGTCTCCCTCATTAGATTGGGAGCTCCTTGAGGGCATGGATTGTTGTTGGCCTTTCTTTGTATGCCCAGCTCTTAACACTGTCTGGCACATAATAGGTGCTAAATAAATGCTTATTGACTGACTGAGAATCTAGTGAGTACATTGCTGGAAATGGGCTGTGCCTGCTGATTGAGGACCCAAAAGGGCAGCTAGGTGGATAGGGCCCTGGGCCTGAAATCAGGAAAACTTAGCTCCCTGAGTTAAAATCTGGCCTAAGACACTAACTAGCCAAGTGACTCTGGGCAAGTCACTTCACCCTGTTTGCCTCAGTTTCCTCATCTGTAAGATGAGCCAGAGAAGGAAATTGCAAACCACTCAAGCATCTTTGCCAAGAAAACTCCAAATGGAGTCACAAAGAATTAGACATGACCAAAATGACTTAACAACTAATCATCAACCAAAAAAAAAAAAAGACCACTAGGTAATACATTATTTGACCTCAGGTGGGGAGGGGAAAACATTCTAGACATGGGGAATAGTATGAGCAAAGGCTCACACCAAAGGTGGGAAAGTTCAGGATATGTTTAGGAGATAGGGAGTGGTCCAGCTTAGCTGTAGCATAGCATGCCGAGGTGAGAATAATGAGATTAACCAAGAATCAGTGGTCAATTGGGAGGTCGAGTAGGAAGGAAGTGCCTTACAATGCTACCAGTTTTCTGGGTTTATAAGTGCTTTGTGTTTTGGGGAGTCCAATGTAATAGAATTTTAGAGCAGGAAGAGATATTGGAACTCATCTAGTTCAACTCTTTTCAGTTGTACAGCAGAGAAGCTGTGTGACTTGCTACAGGTCATATAACTAGTTAGTTGAAGAGCTCAAACTAGCAG